AAAAGACAATATGAGGTGGAGAAAGGAAGGTCTATTTAAACAGGGAATTATAGAGTCTTGGCATTGCCAAAAAATATTTTTCTCCTCTTCTTAGTTTTGGTGGGCCAGTTCTGTACACGTGACCAAAGCAAAATACAATTTTTGTGTCCCATGGATAGCAAAGCTTATTTTCTAAATTTTAGTGCAAATGTAAAAACAGCTAACAATATCAGGTGCAATTCTATGTATTTACATGTATTTAATGCCAAGTCAAATGGAAGTTGTAACTGATGAATCCAGTTTCTCTATTGTGAAAGAGTTCATGAAAAAGCTCAATGAACAAAGACCATTTTAATGAAAAAAGAGGAAGAAAAAAATATTTTTTTTTCTTTCTGTTCAACTGTATCCACTTCTCTGACACTGCCTGGATAAGTGCCTGCAATTTTCTTGGCAGAGTTTTTCAGAAGTGGTTTACCATTGCCTCCTTGCTAGAGTTAAAAGAAAGTGACCCAAGATCACCCAACTGGCTTCATGCCCAATGCAGTACTAGAACTCACAGTTTCTAGTCTGATGCTTTAACACCAAACTGTCTAAGAAAAACTTGTATTGCGGCAAAACCTGGAGCAATTAAGGTAGAAAACACAAGAGATACAGGTTAAAATCCATGGCTGCATCTAGGCAGGATATTTAGGTTCCCAATTCCTTGAGAGATGAGAGGGAAGTACAGGCCCGCTCCAATTCTCTGAAATACCTTGCTTCCAAAGACTTTTTTACATCATTGGCATTCCGTGAAGCTGTAAAAATCTGCTCACGCTGAGCAGGGTGAGCTTTTGTATCCTAATGGTAAGATTGGGCTGCTACTCTGGACTGTGTTGTTTGACTATTGGTGCATTGCAGTGTTGGGAATATTTTTGTCTATTTATGTTTTATACACACACAAATGTGCATGCACAACACACACACACACGCACACACACACACACATGTAAACTTTATGGAATATTGAATTAAAGATAATATGTACATCAGTCATGCACACAAACATGCACACCTTGAATTGTATGCTATCAAATTGGAATAATAAAATGATGGTATCAGTGGAGATAATAATTGCCCTTATTGCACATTAACTATATTAAAATTGTTACATTAAAATAGACTCAGTAGGGATACCATTTAATAAAACAATTGTTTTTAATCATTATTTGGGGAATGAGAGTGCTTTAAATATTTATGTAGCATTAGATTTATATCCTACTTTTTCTCCAGAAAATGAGAAATAGCAAAATCAATTAGAATAAATGCTCAGTAGCTTTTGACAGAACTCTTATTCATTGAAGTTAGCTGAGTCAACAGTCATTTTCTTGACTAAAATACTAAAGATGGTTGAGAGTAGATCTGCCAGACTATATTCTTTTTAGTGATAAACCACACATAAGTGATATAATTCTTTTTAAGTGAAACAGATGAACAACACCAGACTATGCTGCATATATAGATACTAGCAAACTAAATCTTGTGGCAGACTAAATGCCAATTCTATCCTCAAATATACTCCAAATGTTTAATTGCATGAATTATAATTTTAGGGCAGAATAACCTTCTTCATCCTGCAATAGATATTGCTATCATTAATTTGGAATGTTCTGCTCTACTTTACCTGGCCATTTTAAAAAAATCTATAATTAAAAAAAAGGCAATATCCAAAACAAGTTGAAGTACCTCTGTGTTCATTAATCCACACTGTCATTGCTGCAAGATGACCATCTTTGGAAAAATAAAATAACAATCCTAAAATAAAACAACAATCCTAATAATAATCCTTATGTAGCTAAGAAAATAAATAAGCTTTCTTATTTAAATCACCAACTGTTGGTGATTTAACACAATTTCTTATAGCCTGAGATTTGTTATTAAAATATACATATTAACAAACAAATATATAGTCACAATTCTTCAATTCTTCACGGTCACTCACGCCCTTGTCACCTCCCGGTTGGACTATTGTAATGCTCTCTACATGGGGCTCCCCTTGAAGAGCACTCGGAGGCTCCAACTGGTCCAGAATGCGGCCGCGCGGGTGGTTATGGGTGCAACCCGTTGCGCCCACGTGACACCCCTCCTGCGCGAGCTGCACTGGCTCCCAGTGGTCTTCCGGGTGCGATTCAAGGTGTTGGTTACCACCTTTAAAGCGCTCCATGGCATAGGACCCGGGTACCTTCGAGACCGTCTTCTGCCACCAATAGCCTCCCACCGACCAGTCCGCTCCCACAGAGAGGGTCTCCTCCGGGTGCCATCAGCCAAGTTATGTCGGCTGGCGACACCCAGGGGGAGGGCCTTCTCTGTGGGAGCTCCAGCCCTGTGGAATGAACTGCCCCCCGAAATACGAAAGATTTCCGACCTCCGGGTGTTTCGCTGCGCTCTGAAGACCCTGTTGTTCCGCCAGGCAGGGTTACTAACATAACGTTTTAAATTGGGGTATTTTAAATTTCTGGGATTTTAATTGGAGCCTAATTATTTAATGATTTTAAATTTTAAATTGTTGTCGTGTTTTTTGTGTTTTTAAATAGGCTGTACACCGCCCTGAGTCCTTCGGGAGAAGGGCGGTATAGAAATAAAATTATTATTATTATTATTATTATTATTATTATCTGTCCATTTACCATTCTGTCCCCTTTCCTACTCACCACCACAGTAGTTACGCATACTATGTGTATATATTATGTGTATATGGGAATACTCCATATATATGCTTTATGAAGAAAGCTTATGCAATAATGTATATGTTAGATTTTTAGGTACCACAAAATTCTTTTTGGCAGGTTTTCTTCTAAACACTATATGTGCAAAATCTGTAAATTTAAGAGGGAACAATCATTTGATGAGGAGACAAACAAATAAAAGTGACTTAAAACTTTCTTCATTCATAAAAAATAGTTTACAGCAAATAACCCCATTATTTTTTATTGATTAACAAAATGCCCATCAATGTGATATGTCCATCTTATAGAGGGAGAATCTTTATTCTGCAAAGACCTCTTGAACAATCAGTATCTAGGTGTACTACATGCATATAAGTGCTGTGGCACTGTATTTTCTCTACATCTGTTGGCCAGGAAGGAACCATAAAGGTCTTTCAATAGATGTCCAATCTCTCATTCTCAAAGTTGATTTGAAAATCCCCACAAACATAACCAAAAAGTGAAGAAAGGAGATTTAATTTTTGCATGCTCTCTGATCATTCCTGCTATAACTGCTATCAAAGACCTTCATCATTGTCTTGGCAGGCAAGCTTACATCCTTTTAAAGTAGCCTTATATCCCAACATAAATCATCTGAGTTTGGTGACCCCTTCTCCTACCCATTACATTTGGAAATGAATTTAGACTTCTTTAATAGGGCAACATTATTATTTTTTTATGCATGTGTTCATCTTGTGAAGCCAAAAACAAGGGCTAGAAAATAAGTAATGCATTAATTATGCACTCCAATTAGCAAAATCAAATTATAAGAGCAAAGAGAAAAATAGAATGACTGTGGGGCTCAGTCTTGGCTGCAGAGCAGCTCTCTTCTTATGGATTTTTAGTGGCATTAGTAGCAGAGCCTGGACAGCACTTCTGACCTCAGGTAAGTACTGTGTTTCTGTGTTATTTACCGGCATCCCTTCTGAAGCAGGTTGATAAAGGAAAATTCTGTAAGGACTCCGAATTGCTTTGGGGAATTTCTTTTAGGACAATTGCTGCCTGGACTGTTAGAATGTGGAGAGGATGCCAATTTCTATAGGAATGAAGATGCTGGTATTGCACTTAGTTGTATCCAGGGGAATGGCTTGCTGATTGGCTTTCTAGAAAATACTTGCTACCCTCAGTCTTCAAATAATTTTCTGAAATCTGAATTCTAAATAACAAAGTTAGCATGCTGGAGAATGAGAAGTTGGGTGACAGCAGGTAACTTTGCAGATAACTTGGTTGAAAGAAGCTTTTTTTTTTCCAAAAAGGAAAATTTTGCTTCATGAGGCAAAATTGATAAAATAGTTCAATGGATTTCACGTGAGTGGTTTCCTTTCCCTTGAGAAATTTTAATCTAGTCACAAAATCTACTGAGCTATGTGCTATTGATTTAAATAAATAAATAAACTTAACAAGTTTAAAGCAAATATTTATCATGGATTGGTTGACATCAGAATAAAGTATACAATTGTTTATCCTATTTATACAGAAACTTGCATTTGAAGAGCAAGGCATTTGCAAATGCTGATGGTATTCCTACCAAACAGCAGCACTTTTATGTTTCTATTCTATGAAAGTGGCAAGCATATGTTAAAAATAAGTGAATGTATTAATTATATACATAATTAATCAAAATAAAATTATAACAAGAAGCACTGTATCCTAAATCACTGATTTAGACTTTGTGGAGTCAGAGTGAGTGAAACAGGAGAGAAACAGAGAGAAGCAGATTTTTGGATGCAAAACCTACAATAATGTTTGATTGCATTACAAATTCTTGTCCGGTTATTTTAGGATAGCTTTTCTTCCTTGCCTCCTACCATGTGTGTATTTTTAATTGCGGGCGCACACACACACACACACATATAAAGACCAGCAATGGAGCCTTCCCCAGTAGCAGTCCTTCTTGGTTTTTTTGTTTGTTTGTTTGTTTGTTTGTTTTTTTACAAGGCAAGATGCTGAGCAACCAATATGAGTGCTTAGGACCGCTCGGAAGACTTTCTGTCTGAACTGCTTCGATGGTAGTTGGATCCCAGGAGGCTGGAGCAGAGACAGCCTATACCACCTCAGTTTGAAGGCGGGGGAAGGGGCTGCACAGAAGAAGAGAAATATGCAAAAGATAGGAAGCGACTGGTTATTTTTCGGTTCAAAGCAAAAATAAGGGAACAAAATGTCCTTAAGATTGGAAGGAGAGGCTTCCAAATTGAATACCATGGGCAGCACCATCGCCGTTGAGAAGTGTGAGAGCGGCGGCTCCCCATTCTCTTGTAGCCATTGCTGCACCGGCTTTTGCGCAGGGCTGCTGATACTCCTCTAGCTTCCTTTCGTTTTAAAACTAGAGAAGTTCGATAGGCGGCTCTTCCAGCTAGCGGGAAGTATACGGAAGAGAAGGGGGGAGCCGGCGAAAAGGCAGAGAAACGGGAGGGGAGCATTTTCTCCTCCCCATCTGCCTCCTCCCCTTTTTTTGGTTGTTGGTTATATTACCATTGCTGCTAGTCATGGTGACGGCGACAGCATTTCCTTCTGCTGGCGAATGAAGAATAAAAGGAGAGGCTGTTAAGCAGGGCCGGAGTGTTTCTATAGCTTGCTGGCTGATCTAAATGATAGTCTGCTCTATGGTTGGCTGTGCATATGAGCTTCGCGTACCTGTACAGAGGAGCCAGGCTGAGGAAAGCTCTCAGAAGCAGCCCTCTGCTATATGGGAAGAAGGACTCAGCCGTAGCGGTTTTAGCTCGGGGCAGCAGGCAAAGCATTTTCTTCTAATATCCCACTCCGTCTGTCCAAGCCCTTCTCCCTACGAAGTGACCTCACTGTCTCTCATACTTCGTTTGGCGTAGTATGAAGAAGAAGGCTTGCATATATCAAGAGAAAAAGAACCCCAAAGTGTTCGGGACTTCGTGTAAACCAATAAAATAGGTAACTGTACCTGACTTTTACCCCACAAGTGACAATTGATAAGCAGAGGGAGATCTGAGAAAGACCCAGCAAGAGCTTATTTATAACTGCCGCCTGAGACTAAGTGGGGGAAGATAGATCTGAAAGTACAGGATGGTTGTGGTTCTCTATACTAGCTGCAGAGCAGCTCTCTTCCTGTGGATTTTCAGCAACATCAGTGGCAGAACCCAGACAGCCCTTGCCTCCTTTCGTAAGTACTTCCAGAGAACTCCTTTCATGCGTAATGTTTGATTGATTGGGCAGGAAGATATGATAAATCATATATGGGTTCGAAGTTGGTGTTTGGACTGGTGTTGGGAGAGTCTTTCTCATTACTCTCTGGTTAATGTTAAAAAATAGAGCTGAAGTCAATTCTTTGGAATGAAGATGCTGGTGGCAGATTTGTTGAACTGAGAATGCTGATTGTTTTCTGGCAGTTCTTTCTTTGGTCACTTTCTGTAGGATTTTCTGGAGTTTGACTTCTAAAACAGTTTATTGTTGCTGATTAGCCAATGGGCCATATCAAAATACAGGGAAAAAAACTTCTAAAACATAAAGTGCTCGTGTGCACATTGGAGAGTTATTCCTTGTGGCAATAATAGGTTTCATAAATGATTTAGTTGAAGGTGGCAGTATTCTGGGAAAAGAATAAAGTTTTGTTTCTTAAAGCAAAATTAAGATTAGCTACCAGCTTTCTAAAAGAGTGTTATAGAAGTAGTTAATGAAGGGCCAGTGGATTTTACAATGGGTGGTAATTCCTGAGAAGATATGATCTTGTTGCCAGATCTACTGACGTAAGAGCAGATTTTTAGGTTTATAAGTTTAAAACATTAAACAAAATGTCAGCATTTGTTATTATTGTATACAAAGGCTTGTCCAATACCTATAGAAACAGGTTTTCTTACAAACTTCTATGAAATTACCTCCAAAAAGCAACAGTGTTTTTATTTTTCCCTTCTAAATGAAGTGGGAAGTATAACAGTTTTTAAAAAGGGAGATGCATTAATTATACATTCAAATAACTAAAATGAAATTATAATAAACATCTTAAAAAATAGAGCTCAGTAACTCTCATTTGAATCTATTATGGGGTCGGAGTTTGTGGAAGAGGGAAGAAACAGGCAGAGGTGACTTTTGGATGCAATTTCTAATCAAACTCACAAAACCCGTCTGGTTGCTTCCTGTCCTGTCCTATTATCTTAGTACAATTTTTTTCTTGATTTCTTCTATGTGTATTCATACCCGCATACAGGAATATACACAAACAACCACACTCACAGTGGAGCCTCCGGTAATCATCCTGCTGGTTTTACAAGCAGGATACCGAGCTCCTATTCTGAGTGCTTAGGACCGCTCGGAAGACTTGCTGGCTAGACTGCTTCGTTTGTAGCTGGATCCCAGGAGGCTGGAGCACAGGGAGCATATACCATCTCGTTCTGAAGGGGAAGCAAAGAAGAAGAGAAGTAGGAAAAAGAGGAATGTCGATTTGTCGGCGACCTCTTTTTAGGTTCCTTGAAAGCGGAAAATAAAACCCCCAACCCCAAACCTCCTGCCAAGATCACGAAGGAGAGGTTTCCAAGTTCAGTACCATGGATAGCAATACTTGCGTTGCTCTGCTGATCAGGGCAGCCGCTCTCTGCTCTCTAGCGACTCCTGCAAGGCCCACTGCGCAAGGCTGGGGCTGCTGTTTTATCTCCCTTTAGGTTTAAAAGTATAAGTGGGGAAGACTTGGGGAGGTGGCTCTTTCAGGGAGCGGTGGGTACGCGGAAGAGGAGGAGCCGCCGAAAAGACAGAGAGGAGCTGGAGGGACGCGTAGAATTCTCTCTCCTCGGAGCCTCTAGGTTGTTGGTTATTCTGTTACCACTTTTAGTCGCGGAGGCGACCGCAGTGTTTCCTCCTGCTGGTGAATGGTGATTGTAGGAAGACAGAGGCTGTAAGGTTGCTGCTCTGCGGCGGGAACGTCTCCATCGCCCGCTAGCCCGATCTGAATGCGTGCCTGCTTTCTGACTGGCTGTAGTGTGCGTTTGAATCCCACGGATCAATTCAGCGGCAGCCGGGCAAAGGAAAGCTTTTTGAAGCACCCCTTCTCTTTACAGAAAAAGCTGAGGAGCTGTGATTTCTGCCACAGCGGTTGAGTGTTTATTCCCGAAAGCTGCTCGCTCTCTCCGAGATCTTGTCCTGTAAAGTGACATCTGTTCCTATTGGTCTGATATCCTGAAGTGAAGTTGCTTACCTATATTCCAAAAGAAAAGAACGCTGAAGTCTCGGGAACTTCGACACACGACAGTGACATTTCCCTCAAGGTGACAAGCAGCAGATGAAGATTGAAGAAAGAGAATTGAAGACGGAATCAGAATATTTCCAACTGATACCTGGGACTAACAGTTTGAAGGTGCAGGATGGCTGGGGTTCGCGCTGCCTTCAAAAGAGCTCTCTTCCTGTGGATTTTGAGCAACATCAGCGACAGAGTCCAGACAGCCTTTCCGTCCTCCCGTAAGTACCGCGCTTCCACATTGAGGCAGTGACAAGTTGTATTTAATGGGGCAGGTTAGTAAGGGAAGTCAAATAAAGGCTTGCAGATTGTTTGGAATTGCTGCAGGGAAGGTCGGAAAATCGCAAGACAGGTACCGGCTTTTCTTGGAACCGAAGTATTGACGGCATTTAGTTGAACCGAGGGAACAAGCTGGCGGGTGCTGGTTGGCTTTCTTTGAAGTTTTTGTTTTCCCATTCATGGTGGGGATTTTCTAGAGCTGATTTCTGAAAAGCAAAGCGCAAAGAGAGTGGATACCCAGGGCGATAATGGGGAATTTTGCGGCTGATTCTGATGAATAAAGTTTCGTTTCTTGAAGAAAAATCAGTAAAATGTAAGCCTTCTGAAGAGCTGTTATGAAAGCACCTATCCGGTGAGTCAGTGAGATTTCACATGGGGGGGGTATCCCTAGGTGCCCTAAGGAGATTCAATACATTGAGCTACCTTCAGAAACCTAACAATTTTACAGTACATGCATGTTTGTAGCATTAGTTGTTTGATATCAGAGTGAAATATTCTGTTGTTTGCCTAATTTTTGTAGAAAGCTGCTTTTCTAGCTTATGGAACTATATACAGCATTCCAGAGAATGGCAGTTTGACTTTCTCTTCCAAATGATCTACATGCATGTGATACACAGTGCTGACTCTTCTGCTTTTGGGGGACACAAGTATTGTATGCTGTTTTTTTATAATCAGTCATACTGAAGATTTAATAGCCAAACCTGGTGGTATTTGACTCAGCATATTTCCATCTACTACTTATAATAACTGGTACTTGTTTATTTTGTCACAAAGAGAAAAAGTGATATCAGAGCTCAATCATATTTGAAGAAAATCTTGGTTGCTGATCATTTGTGAGGAATGACAGATATCAGTGGGAGGTAATCTATGGCCTCTATACCTATTTGATAAAAGTCCAAGTTTGGTAAAAAGAGGTATGATGGTAAGTTGTGTCACAAGTTAAAGAAGTGCAAATGTCTTATTATTCTCTAAAGAGTATGTGATATTAAGAGGAGCATGTCTTAACACATGAACCAAATAATCTCAAGCCACATTAATTTATTCCCTCTTTTAGAAATAATCTAATGCTGGGCCTTTTGCTTAGTGCTGTTGGATTGCTCTTAATATTGATTTCATCCCTGTTAATATATGCAGTGATATTGTATATAAGAAAGAGAAAGTAAAGAAAGACTCAGTCATCCTTGCTCTGCAGAATCAATATTTGATGTCCAATATGTTGAAATCCAAATTTTGCATAGCTTTCTTCAGGTACATAAAGTGCAAGATTACACTTTAACGCGTATGCACGCATATACATACTCTTGTTATATGAATGGCTTACAGGAGGTTTGTTTACGATACTCCCTAGCATTGTATTATGAGTATGTATGTGTGTATATATGTACATGCACACACACTTATCATATATGAACACATACATAGTTTTAGAGTACTCAAATTTGGATTTAGGTATAAATCAATCAAAAAGTTAGACAATATACTTTTGTAAAGAAAGAATTTGAGGACTTCTTTCTTCAGAATCCTGAAAAAACAGTACATAAATAGGTTTTATATAGTCATATTTGTTTTTTAGTTTCTGAGAATGTGTGTTCCTCTCCTCCCCATTCCCCTCCTTTCCCCCTCTCTCTTCCCCTTCCCCTCCCTCTCTCTCTCTCTCTCTGCCTGCCCACTCTATGCTTGCCTCCTGTTAAACAGACAGTTGTATTATTGTAACTACATTAATAAAGTGGAAGTGGGATCGACTGATAGGGAGATGCATAGAGGCAGAAACAAAATCAAACATAACCAGATCTGCTTTCTTGAACAAGTACATCAAACCAAATTATATACTAACATATCAAAAATTAGTCAAATACAGTTGTGCAGAAAAGCATAAAAACTCAGACGTCCATATGCTAAAGTTAGATTCTCTTCAAACTTCAAATAAGATGAATTTGCATAATGTGAAAACCTGAACAAAAAGTGGATTTGGTGCCCAATTTTGTAATCCAAATGTACTGACAAATACGCTCAGCACCAGTTTTTCTGCAGCATATGTCAAACTTTTTTCCCCTAAGGTTATGCCTTTTTCAATCACAAAATAGGTAATTCACATAAAATGAGGGAAACTCTTTACCTACCTGAAATGAAAGTAAAATAGTAAAAGTGATTTAAAACAAATGTCTAAAAAGTCTTAATGCTACCTAAGCGTTCTTATTTGTAAATCTTTGGTGGATGAACCTATTTTACAGATATTTGAGTTTCTTGGTAAGAAGTTATATACTGGATCACCCTATGATTTTTATCGCTTGCTTGTTTTGACACAGAAATTAGTTAGGTAATTGCATAATGGGAGAACATTTTTTTGAAGACTGTTTTGAAGAGCAGTCTTCTGAATGTTATGCATGTAGATTGGGTATGATCCATATTACTGCAGGATCAGTTATAGAACTCTCATAATGCAACTCAATGTTATGAACTACATATACTGTTTAATAGAAGAATGCAATGGTTCAGATTCCATTTTGAAAAGGTAGCATGTGATATCTTGGTGTATGAATATAGCATCTTTAACACAGGCCTGATTCAGGCCCCTACCTCATGACTATTTTTTGCAGCTTCATGACATGTGCTTAGGTACCCCAAATATCTTTTATACATTATGTTTGAAATGTTACATA